CGTTGACTTCGCGCGCGGCGGTGCGACGTGCGCCTGGAGTCGCGAAAATTCGGTTAACGTCCTCGACGTATCGCCGGGAACGCCGAGCGTCCTGTTGTGAGCGTCGCATTAGCCTTGCTTACGGGTTCGCAAGCAGGCAAGGAGAAACACGAAATGAATATTCAGAAGTTATTAGTCTGTAGTGAAATGTGACGGGGCTCACCCTTCTCGAAAACCACCCTGGCCTCCGCTACCGTCGCCCACTCCTCCCTACCCTTCACCCGCCCCTCCCCCCTCTTCTTCCAGGCCGGTATAGATTTTGCGATACATCCTGGCGGAAATACTCGCGAGCGAGCGAGCGAGCGAGCGAGCGAGACACCCCGATCCGCCAGTAGCCGGTCGAAGAAGGGGTTGAAGCCTCGATGAAACGGCGGGGATGAAATCGTGAAAGATGAGGAGGTTGGAATAGAGAGACGGGACTGGCGGGGCGTGAGGGTAGTGAGCGAAAGGGGCTTTATGCACGAGCTAAGAAGCGCCATTGACGGCCAGCAAGGAGGACGTGTATGTATACACTTCGACTTTGTCAGCGCATTTGATAAGCACAAGACTTTGGTAACACCGACGTGACGTAACCCCGTCACGTATCTGGCAGTCACCGAGTATAATCCTCGCGCACGTACGAGGAGGACAGAGGTCTGCGGCTGCTTAAATTAAAGTCGTCCGACGATGTTTTCGCGAGCGATGTGGCTGGCTCGACGTGGAATACCGAAGAACCACCATCCCCATTGATTCTTCCTTCGACGTGATCTCTTCGTCGTCGCGATCGGATCGATTCGATTTCAATACAATTGACGCGACTCTCGTCGTGCGTGATGTTACTCGGGAGCGATTCTCGCGGAGGAACTTTGGCAAATCCGTCGCGCGAGGAGTCGCGCTCTCGATCGTGGAAGAATGTCGCGTTCCGCCGGTGCTAATCTCGAGTTGACTCGCGGAATCGGCGGAGAAACAAATATTGAGAAACGGGCGGCGCCTTTACGTTGTTCGTAGTCGCTCCATCCCGTCGCCAAGTGCCGCGCGCAGCCCGCCATGGAAATACGATCCATACGAAACATATAATACCAATGCGTCTCGCTGGTATTTGTCGAGGAAGCGCGGGCGCGGACGGATAGAGATCTCCGACAATCGTGTAAACGCCTATACGAACGGTGCCATCTTGAAAGCGCGCGTCGTGGCGCAGGCGATATTCAAATGGCATCAATTTCTGCGAAATTGCTCCCTATATCTACCCGCAACCTGGATGCAGAGCTACCCCCTCTCCCTCTGTCTCTCTCTCTCTCTCTCTCGCGCGCGCGAAGAGGGTGAGCAGACCGTATTGGCAGATAGCTACAGCATCGTTTTACAACCCCTTATCTGGATAAGTTACGGGCATTCTATTCGGCGATTCTCCGTCGTCCGAAGTTGCGTCGTCGAGGGTGTCATCGATTTCCATGGAAATCCCCGGCGCGTGTAACTCTCGTGTGCTATGCCAGATTGCCGCGCTGCTTTATTGCGCGAGACCTATCTATCTCGAGCGAGAAAAAAGGAAAAGTGTGTGTGTGTGTGTGTGTGTGTGAGAGAGAGAGAGAGAGGGAGAGAGAGAGAGAGAGAGAGAGATAGATAGAGAAACAGAGACCACAGGCGGCTGTCGTCGTCTGTCGAATGCGCCGAAGACATCTCCGATTGGCCGGGGACGTCAGCGCGTCGAAGATGTTACCCATCGAGTAACATGAGTTTTCGTTCCCACTGAGAGGTATTTGCTTCTTCTTCGTCTTCTTCTTCCTCCTCTTCCTCTTCTTCTCCTTCCTCTTCTCGATCGGTCGCGCGAGACGACCGACGTCGAATTCTCGGAGCTGGAATTGTTACACGCGCGAGTTGCGCCAGACCCCCGAGTCCCCGTCCGCGATTGTGCCTGTCGTTTACACATTTGTTTCCATACACTTGGTACACCGCGGACAACTCGTTCGGCGAAACTGTCGAGCTCGAAATTTCAGTGCCTAACGAGCCGAAGAAGAGTCACTCGGCGAGGCTGGGCGGCGGCAGCGGCGGCGGCGGCGGCGGCGGCAATCTCGGAGGAGAGCCCCCGTTTTCCTTCCTCCTCTTCTTTCCTCTTTTTCTCTTCGCCTCGCCGCAGAAGAAACACCCGCGGGGCTCGGCAACTTTTTTTCATCAGCATTTTACGGTTATACCGGCGCATTAATAATGCACATGCTTAATATAAAGAGAGGCCCGCGAGTCTCCGTCTAATAAACTGGAAGAATGCTTTATAACCGTCCGCGGTTTTGGGTCGTGAGGGGGCGACCGGCGGGGGAGGCGAAGGGTGGGCTGGAAGGCAAACTGAAGGGGGTGGCTTTTCTTCTTTATGCTCGCCAAACGGCCAATCTCTCCTCCGCGCGTCGAAGGAAAGTGGTCTAACTTTCCGGCGCTACGGAGAGACAACGAACTCGTCGCGCGATATAGCCCTCGGAAGCGCGACTCGTTAAAGGACCCGCCGTTCTCCCGCGTCCTCTCCCGTCTCTCCAGCTTCACGTCCCGCTGCTATTCCTCTCGCCACGGACGCGTGGCGAGAGGAAAATTTATTTCCGTGCAAAAATTTGTCAACGCAACGGTCGATGCCGCGGAGAAAGAGAGAGAGGGAGAGAGAGAGAGAGAGAGAGAGAGAGAGAGAGAGAGAGAGAGAGAGAGAGAGAGAGAGAGAGAGGCAGTGAGACTAGCCGCCGAATGTCCAAACTTGGCGCGACAAGTTTCGCAATTCGCGCGGACTTCGTATTCCTGTCAGCTCCGCTTTATTTACTCGTCTCGCGATCGTCCACGAAGCGCACTCTTCTCTCCGCGGCAAGTTACACCGCGGAATAAAGACGCCGGGATATATTTAGCCATTATCTACGGGGGATACATCATTTATGATAAAATTCTAGTCGCGAGTCATATCGGTGGCGCGACGCGCGGACGTAAATCACCTTTAGCATAAAAATTTTCATATCCATCTTATCCTCGAGAGCCAAATGAATTTTTCGTTCTCCCCGAGCTGATTTCCGAGTTGCGAGCGAGAGGAGGCGCTTCCAGATAGCGAAGGTGAGACTTTTTGAAAAATATGAGTTTAATAAAGAAGGTGGTATGATGTATGGCCTCGTGCCGAGGGAGGGAACCTAGCAGGATCAACCAGCTTCGATACACAGATATTGTATATGTAATATAAGTAGATGAAGGGAATGGGCGTGATGTACTGGGTGTCAAAATGTCTCGTGAGACGTTCGACGGCCAGCGTGCTGGTAAGAAAATTGCGGGAAACAAACCGGAGAGGGATATATAGACGCGCGCGCTGACGAATCTCGCCGCGCGTAGACGGCACGTCGGTGTGTTCTTTTCATCACGTCCTGTCGACGATGAAAAATGGAAGGCTTCACGCGCAGTTCCATGCGGTCTTGGTTTCGGCCGTGTCGTGCGAAAATTAGCCGAAATGTTACAGTCATTTCGCTGCTATCGATTCGAGTGTGTGCGTGTGTTATCCTCCGGGCGAGGCATCGATCGAGGCTGAAACTTCAAGCGCTCGACCTGTCGTTATTATCGCTGCCGTCGTGGTACTTGAAGCCCCGCCCCCCGCCCCGCTTTTTTCACCCCGCTCTCCCCTCGACGCATAATACCGCGCGAGACATTGAATATTTCATCCGAAAGATCCGTATTTTTCTCCGGCTGATTGTCATTCGAAGAGGTCCACGAGCGACAGGCGCCGTCCGTACGGCGGCGCAGGGAGCAGCGAAATCAATTATTCATCCCAATTGGCCGGGAAAAAGTCCTAATTATCCGAAGCAAATACAACCTTAATACGCAGAAGTATACCATCACCTCTCCTTTCGCCCCGCTCTCTTCTTCCCTCTCTCTCTCTCTCTCTCTCTCTCTCCCTCTCTCTCTCTCTCTCTCTCTCTCTCTCTCTCTCTCTTTCTCTCTTTCTTTCTCTCCCTCTATCTACGAGCTCCTCCGCAGTCACTCTTCGGCACAGCCTTCTCCTTCTTACCGTGAATAACCATTTGTATTTCCAATTAGCTTTGCTAATAAGAAGACGGAGGCATTGCCGTAGTTTAAAAAAAAATGTATAACCTCATCCAGCCACTGGGGAAATAAAGAAAAGCGCCGCCCCGGTATGACAATACCGACGGGTCGAGCGGGGTTATATCGAGCGAACTACAATTAAAAATCCTCGCTTCACCCTCGCTTAACCCTGGCTCCTCCTTATGCTGTATTAACGACCGGGGCTGTGCAAGGATGGCTGCTACGGGGACATCGTACCAAACAGCGAGAATTTTTTTTTCGCCAATTTTATGCTTGACCCCATCGCTTTTTTTTTCACCCTCGCTCTTTTATCCCGACGCTCCGTCTTTCTGTTTTTAGCGCCGTGTCGATTTACTCCGTTCGACACAGCGGCGCGTTATTCTCTCTCCGTCGAGAGAGGCGAACGAGAGAGCGGGTTATAAAAATATGTCTGAAAGGGAATTAGTTTCTCTCTCTCTCTCTCTCTTTTCCATCGCGCGTACACTTACACACAGTTGGAGACGAATAAGCTGTAAATAAGAAATGCATACTTGAACTTTAACAGTCGTTACATTTTCATCAACTCGATTGTATCATATACATTTCGATAATAACATTGATGAACTCGTGTAGTCGTTGTGACGAAAATCGATCGTCGCGCTCGGGAAATCTTTTCGCGGCTCGAAATCTTGCAAGACACAGACTCGAGCGTACGTCGAGGCACGCGTTCGCGTCAAGCGAGCGTCAAGTATGTATAGTACATACACTTATAAGAAATAAACTGACATATTGAGATACGGCCTCCGTCGTGATCCGTTTCGGCCGATACCAGACTGTACGTATATGTTTGCAAACTCTCTGATTTTCATTCGCGCGACTCCGCTAGGGTTCTTGTTGTCATACGAATGACGAAAGTCGCGCCGAGGACGATCGAACAGCGACTAATACCGGGAGCTAGGTGCGACAGTCTTGTCAGTTGCGATCGCTATTTCGTATGGTACGTATCGCGGCACGAAGATTTCGTGAGAGTCAGTGAGAGAGCGCTTTCAAGAGTGTTTCATGTTACATTTTTACTCGAACAACAAACGAGAAACTGACGTCTAATCGTCGGACATCATTGCTGGCACATCTCGTGTGAACACAAGTAAGAGTTTGCCTCACGAAGCTTAACGAACATCCAGAAATGAAAGTACTCTCGGATATTTATTACTTGCGCACACGTAACACGTGTGTGTGTGTGTGTGTTCCCATCATAGATATTTATTCGATTATCTAAAAATGTCAACGTTACTTTAAATTTATATACATTTATTATTTATTACATATGTATCATTAAGTTACAATTAATTTCTTCCTTATATCTCATACAAGATTTAATATTTGATCGATGATATGAAATCGATAATCGATATTATTCGGGATATTAATCGCGCAATTTTTCACGATTTCTATAGAGCAAATATGAGAATTAAAACAGTCCCAAGGCACAGGATACTCCAAAGGAACACGAGAGTTGCGTCTGCAACGGAAACTTCCACAGACGCGGAAACTATCATTAATATAAAAAAGAATATCGACTCCGCATACACGATGAACGGTCAAAATTTGTACAATCAGGTGAGCAACAATACATCTTTCAGAATTTGATGTAATAAATTGCACGTTGTCGATTAGTCATTAAAACTTCAATAAGAAGGTAGAACAAAGCATACTCACGGTTCAATACGGTTAATCTCTCTCTCTCTCTCTCTCTACTTATTAATTAAATATAAAAATTGCTTATAAAATATATTTGGACAATTACTCGAGGAGAATAGTCGCGCAAATAGGCTGTAAAATATTCTACGTAATTCTGATACAGCCTCATAATACAGAGAACACAGAGAACTCTTCGTAAATACAGAAAGATATAATTTCGATACATTCGCAGAATTTTCCGAATATTAAGACGTGTCTTATACAATAGGCATACGAGTCACCTTCAGCTATTCTCATTCCTGGCACTGTGTCCAGTACCTCGAGCAGTGAACTGACCTTGCCATCATCCACCAGCGTATCATCGTCGCTCACGAACGATAACAATAATAACACAGAAGTCGTGAATCTGTCAATTAAAGACGCTTCCAGTTGCGTCGATAAAACTGGCTCAGGTACCTCCGCCGAGCCAGACGATAAACTGAAGGACACGTTTCTCTACAAGATTATGACCGATCCGAACTTCCTGGAGAACATACAGAGAAACAAGCAGCCGAAAAAGTTTGTCTGCATCTTCTGTAAGGAAGATTTCACGACGTGCGAGGAATTGACGAGTCATATGGACGTGAAGAAGAACGATAGCAATCAGATCGCCTGTTGCGCCTGCAAGAAGACCTTTGCCGAGAAGAGGTACTTGAAGTACCATCGGAGATGTCACTCGGAGAGGACCAAATTCACCTGTGACATCTGCACGAGGAAGTATACGAGATTGGACAATTTGACGAGACACAATGTGTTGCACGTGAACCCCGACAAGTTCTCCTGCACGATCTGCAACAGGACCTTCACGCGCAAGGATCTGTTGAATAAGCACCGAAAGAGCCACGAGAAGTACAATCTTTACTGCGAGAAATGCGGCAAGTACTTTAGAAAGATTCTCACGTTGGAAAACCATCAGAAAACGCACGGCGACACGTCGAACGCTTCGATGAGCACGGCTGCCTTTGAGACAGAAACGTCCGTTAAGAATGTACAGTGCAAAACCGAGAGTGTAGCCAGTGCCAAGAATATAGTTTGCAAAACTGAGAATTCAGTCAGGGATGAGGATCTAGTTTGCAAAACTGAGGAATCTACTCTTAGGGCTCAGAACTTGCCTTTCGATGAAAGTGTTTGTTAGGCAAAGTTACCATATTTCTGTTTGGTCTCAATTTATTACATCTCTCGATAACCGAAGCGGAAGGTATTAGTCAACGAAGGCATAATAAGTGGTGCAAAAATAGACGCGGTATTGTTAAATTCTCTCTCGTATATGTAATACTGGCTCTTGCGTAATTATTGTATCCTGATCTGTGTTATGTAGCAGGCTCTCTTGCAGTGTATAACTTAGGGATTTTTGTTTACACGATTGTTTTGCTATTTTCTTGACTTATTGCAGGTAGAACGCGGTAGATGAGAATATATTTTACGGTTAATATACGCGTATAAATTAACTATAAACATATATAATTAATCAATTATTGTTTCGTTATTACCGCCGTGTCAGATATTTCTCAACGTATTCTTATCGTTATCAACATCAGAAGCTAACAAACGTACAGTAGTCTAAATGATCCAAATGTATCTGAATAACTTAAATTTAAATAATCTGTAACAAACATACGTTTCTCAAGCAAACATGAACGCATTTTTCTTTATTGTACAAAATTATATTAAACGACTAAGAACATGAATTTTTAAGAGTACTAGATCTTTTTCGCAAATGAAAAATCATACTTTAACCTAAGAAAAGAGAGAGAGAGAAAGAGGGAGAGAGAGAGAGAGAGAGAGAGAGGGAGAGGGAAGGCGCGATATCTATTTCTTTGAATAGTTTTCCTTGGTTTAACTGCACGTCTATATGTATGTACGTATATATACATATCAAGTTCTGAGATTTTATTAGAAATGTATGATGATAAAGATTACACTTTTCTTTCATTTCTCTTTTCCACTTCTGTCTGGAGTAAGGAATACTTAGAAAGTAGGACGTGTAACCGCTTATACTCAATCACGAAACAGAACGACCACCATCCCCAGAAATCGTCGACACTTCTCGTCCCTTTTAGCTTTATTCACTCGGTCCTACATTTTTTTCTTCATGGCTCTCTTGGTCGTTCACTCTCTTTCTCACTTGCAATTTAATGCAATTAAGTCGAGCGTTAAAATATCGTTCTTAATTCGCCGGCGGCACCCTTTGTTTTAAACGTGGTTTTAGCGCGAGCGACTCACGTTGAAGCCTCTCGTTTTCTCTCTTTGTCCGCGTTTGCTCTCTTCCTCGATCCGTCTCTCTTTCTCCCATTTCCCTGTATTTTGCACCCTCCCTCCGCTCACACACGCTCTCTCTCTCTCTCTCTCTCTCGCGCGCGCGCGCGCTTTCTCTCTCCTACTAGACGCAGCGCACAATTCGTTTTTCCCGTAAGAAATACATGCACGCCATCGTCGCGTTTTCAAGCACAATGCACGACTTTGACGCTCTGTTGCCACAAGCTGGTTTCCCACTACGAAATACTAATTATTTTCCATTTTCCTTTTGGAATACTCAAAGTTTCCCGCTACGGTGGAGAAAAGTTATCGCGCTCGGTGATGCTCAAACTTGAGAATTGAACGAAGCAGGAAGCCGAAAATCTGCACAGGGAACGTGTTTTCTTTATATACCGTCCGACATAACGTTTGTTTTTTCTTCATAGCATGTGACGGACTCTTCGATTTTTCAAGTAGAAAATTTTACTAAAAAAAATCGAATGCCGATGGGATATGGGGGGGGAGGGGGGAGGGTGCAGATGATATCGCGAGTTTGACTTGTTTATTTGCAACTTATGCGCCAATGTTTCCTCATATTTATATCTAACTTCAATCTCTCGCTATCACTTCCGACCTATTTTTCATTCCGTGCGCTCGCTACCAGCCACACTCGCTCCATATTCCCTTTGTTCCTCAAGAACTCGAGAAAGGTTTTTCCACTGTGGCATCGAAAGAAAGCTCCGCGAAGCACTCAAAGATAGAGCAATAGCAGAGTCCGCCAATTTCTCGAGCGTTTCTCTCTCTCTCTCTCCCTCCCTCTCTCTCGTATCACCCTGGAATCCTTCCGTGTGTGTCCCTTTGATTCACTTACTTGTCCGACGTGTATCCCGTATGCGGACTCGACCAAAAATGTAACAAAGTTTCCAGGAACGTCCCGTCCAGAGAGGCCAGTACAGATTCTGCGGTCTCTTTGCTGAGCGTCGAACTCGCTTCTTGCTGGACGAACGACGTCCTTTCCTCGTCGTCCTCCTGCCGACGACCTTTCCTTTACTGTGATACGTTTGAACGTTACCCAGGTACCCGAGACGATTATGCGCGTGGCGAGCGATCCTGTGCAATCTCGGATACTTCAAAAACTATGTAACAAACCTGCGTCGTTTGATTCTTCTCGAGAAATATCGCAGAATTTTATCAGAGTAATTCCGCACTTCCGCGCGCTTGGAAGCGAATTCGATTCTCAATTTATTCGGCTGCACTCAGCGCATATTTATATTCATGACTTTCTAGTATTTCATTATTTTACAAGTATTTGATCATAGGCGTACGTTCGACTTTCGTTCGACTTTCGTCGTGTGCCTCTTCTCTCTCTCTCTCTCTCTCTCTCTCTCTCTCTCTCTCTCTCGCGCGTTTTTCCCTCTTTTCCCATCTTTAAAACGCCGATAAATATCTCCAGTCGCGCGCGGTAAACGCGGTTCTTTCTTTCTCTCGCTAGGAAATACATTTTGGCGAACGTGTGGAAGGACGCCGGGGCGCATATTCACCGCGGAGAGATAGACATCTTAAGATTGTTTATCTCCTCTCGTTGTTGCTTAATCTCTCCTTGTGCCGAAATTTAAGGCATTATACCGTGGAAGAATCCCTTTGATGTCGCGCTTTACATGCAATATTTACATGCTATCGGGGGAAGACTTTAAACTTCTTAAAGATATTTTGAAGGCCCGGGAGTACTTTCAGCGAGCTTGCTGCATTAAGAATTCAGGGAAGGGGCACGGTGGCATTTATTCATTCAGGCATTAATGAAAAGTCTGTATGGCAGCGCTAGGGTGTACAAAAGCCGCCGCCGAGAACCGGGCGGCAAGCGTTGGTCGCACGCGATACTCGTATTTACCCGTACGCGATCGCGCGCCAAATGTTTTTATTTCACCACGTTTCTCCTGCTTATTTCACCAAGTCGACGAAGAATAATGGAGGAGGGGCTCGCCGCGCCGCACAAGCCGTGCCGCACGTGCTTATGTTTGTCACACTCGAGGTTGTTCCTTATGCGTCCTGCAGGAAGCGCACACACCATTCACATATACTAACGCCGCAGACAATGTCGGACGAAGAGAAAAAGAGAAAACAGCCGAAACAGTTGCATCACCGGTTCAATTAGCCGCCATTACAGCGCGGATCGCGCAATCCGGCATTAACGACACGCTGATATCGCGCTACGCGTACGCGAGCATCTAACCGGAAAACAGGAAGAGCGAGAGGACGAGGAAAATGGAGAAAAGCGCGCGAGCAAGGGCAGGAACTTTGCCGCAATTTTAAAAACTGCTAAGCATTTCACGTGTTTGTTTGAACGCGCACAATGCCATTAGAAGTGCCTTTTAGTCCCTCTATCGTCCTCGTCCTCGTCCTCGTCCTCGTGCTCGTCGTCAACGTCGTCAACGTCGTCGTCTACGTTGTCGTTTCTCTCTTTCTCTCTCTCTCTCTCTCCCCTCCCCCCCTCCCCCCCTCTCTCTCTCTCTCTCTCTCTCTCTCTCCGTCTCGCGGCCGAGCCCTCGCTACTCTCTTTCGCACCACCTTCGACCCTCTCGTCGGGAAATCCGCTCGCGGCAAAACGCGTTCTACATACGCAGCGCTGAGTTTTTCCACGGTTTTCATCCGGCACTTTGGCGCTCGTTTTCCCAGACCGCACGCGTGTACCCGCGCGCACGTGTTGTACACGCGCATCGTCGCTCCCTTCTTCCCCTCCCGCCCTTCCCGTGCCCCGCCGCGCTCTCTTAGCCTCTCGTCGAGCGGGGTCATAACGTTTGTTTTCGCGCTTGTTTTGCATCGTCGAACGGAGAACCGTCTGAAAACAACCTGGAAAATCAAGTCGACGCGAAGTAAAGCCTTCTCCAGGAGGAGACGCCGGCGGGCGAGGCGCGCGCGCGCGAGTTGGCGGATTAATTGGCGCCAGCTACGATTGACACGCGAATGGCGTTTTCGCGAGCTCTCTCGGTGGCTGTCGACGGCGCGATCGACGGAATCGCGCGCTCGTCTCTCCAGGCTTCACCCCGGCTCGCTCTCTCCCGCTTCCGTCGTGGCTTTCGGTTTATCCTCGCGCGTCGCAGCGCGTGAACGTGAACTCGTTACGTGAAGACGTGTGTCCTTTGGAGGTCGCCCGCTTCCGTTAATATTGCATCAATGCCGTGTCAAAGAGCGGCCACCCTTCGTCCGTCGCCGTGTCGCGGCGGCCTTTTACGCGACGTGCGCGCTTTTGCACTTCGATGAGGCTTTCTCGCGAGAGCGAGTCCAAGCGGCGCGGCGCGACGCGACTGCCTCGTGAATAATTAGCGGGCGGGACGAGACGTTAACCGATGGGCTTGAACATTTCTCCGGGCCGCTCCCCGAAAATGCACGCATTCCGTGTCAATCCCCCGCGCGGCAGATGATAATTAAAAAATGGTGTACTCGAGCGTAAAATTAAATCTTGTGCGTTGTAGCGAACTTGAATTCGGCTGTTCTCTATATGAAATGTTTTCACGTTACGTGCAAACGCGCGCGCGCGCGCGGAACTCTACTCGAGCGGAATGTGTTTCGCGTGTATCTATGATGCGCTTATTCTTTTTACGAAGTTGCAACGGCGGCGTCCGACGCGCGATGTCCGACGAAGTGCGGAGGGCCGCACGGCAGAAGCGCGCGCGAGCGAGCGAGCGCGCGTAATTCAGTCACAGCTAGATCGATTACAGGCTGCCTCGACCAGTGCGAAAGCGCTCTCGCGCGAGGAGAGAGAGCGAGGGTGAAAGAAGAGAAAATCGCTCCGCTTAGGCAAACCCGCCCAATAATCGCTGATAATTTATTAAAGCAAAAAACGCCAGCGATCCGCCCTCTTGCGCGCGGGCTCTTGTGCGTTATTTAAGAAAATAAATATTTGATATTTCAAACAAAGACTCTCTCGGCTATTCCTCTCTTGCCTGGCCGAGGCAAGGCCGCGAGGAGCCAATGGCGCGGGGCCAGGCGGGAGGAAGATAAGGGCGAGAGAGAGAGAGAGAGAGAGAGGCCGCGCGCGCGAGAGGAGGAAGGAGCAAGGATCGCAGCTAAAAAGTGTCGAGGGAGAGAGGGTCGCTAAGTCTCGCCCGCTTAAAGGCGCCGACGGGGGGTGGCGACTCATTGGCCGTGAAATATGGGGTAAAAGGTTCGATAATTGATTACACAGATTTTTTATGCCGCAAGAAGCCTTAATTCTCGCCGCTACCCCTTGGAATAATTCCGCGCCGGGAAACCTGAGCGACGAGGCCGGAATATCGAATCCCTCTCCTCCCCCTCGCCCTCGGTGAGAGTCTTCCATCCCCCACGAGGGAAGACAATCTCGCGTCGGCCCTTACAACCGGTTCCGAGATTAATCGAAATCGCGATTGCGCTGCTCACGGGCGACGGGGATGGCCGCTTTATCGAATGAAATCTTTCGTCCTTGAGAGTC